GGGTTTTCGAGAATCGAGAATAATGTCTCATATCCTTATGATATGTTTCCTTTCTCTGATTTAAGATCGACCTGTTGCTTTCCTATTTTGATGGCTTTTAGCAGCGTTTTTTTGGCAAATTTTCTTTTAATGAAAGCATAACAAGGTTTTGTTAGGCCCTCTGTGTGGTCGCCGAGAAAATTTAAGGTCATGATTGTATTTTTTCAAATCTTTTTCGATCTCAAATAATTAAACTTACGTGAAGAAACTATGAAAATGAGAAAGTTATTTTCCTGCATTTTCTCAGCAACTAAACGGAATGCTTGTGTGGGATTTTGATATGTGTTAGTGGACCTTAACTTTAGCGAGCGCGGTAGCCAAAGGGATCGAGATCGAGAAAGGGCTCAAGCCAGGGCAGGAAACAAGGCCAGGCAGCCAAAGGAAGATGGTTCTGTATCTCTTGGTATTCCAAGACCTTTGTTTAACACCTGAACAAAAGAGAGAGAGGTTCTGTATCTATCTCTCCAAAATTTGTTTCTTTTCAGACCTAATTTTTAATTCTAATTTGGGTATTGAATTTTGATGGTTAGGGATGCGAGAGCACTTCAAGAGAAATTGGCGAAAAAAGCAGCACAAGGGAAGAACAATAATAGTGTAGCTAATAATAAGAATAAGAAGTAATGGATAAAGAGTTTGAGTAGTAGTGATGAGAAATGTAGTGTGCTGTATCAGATCTCTGGGCTTTGGATTTGAATTCATGCAGATTATGTCATTTTGTGTAGATAGTGAACAAATCAAGATTTGCTTGGTTTCGGCATGTTATGTATGTTGACTTCTGTATCCTTAATTTGTTTCTGATTTGGAATGCAATTTATTGTTGGATTTTACAATGATTTTGTGCTTCATCTTGCTTAAATTGGTCTTGAAAGTGTTTTTTGATTCATCTTGCTGAAAATTTCACCACTAAACATACGGTAATCTTTTGAATTGGGGAAAAGTTAGACATGAAAGATTGGAAAAGCTTTATTGTGGGTATTCCACTACAAAACATTACAAAAGAGAACAATCAGAAAGAACATAGGTAGAGCATGGCTTCCAATAGAAGGGAAGGAAAAAATGCATGCAACAATTTGTCCTGACAATGCATTAGTAGCCATGAGCTTGGAATTCTCAACAAAGTTTTACAATAAAACTGTTTAAATTTTGCTCGATAGTCTAAACACTGACATGCACACAGCACATCAAGTAAATGGTGGATTCATTTGGAGATATTCTTGATAAAAGCATCCAGGTTTGATTCAGATGACCCTCCTTTTTGGATTGCTCCTCGACAGATCTCTTTCATTTTTTCTGATCTTTTCATCATTTCTTTCCTCTTAGGATTTTCCAAATCCATAAATGCCCGTGCAAGATCAGCAATTTCTTCTCTCGGCACCAAATTCTCTATCTCCCATTTCTTCAGTTTCCACCCAATCTTCCAATCCTCAACGATAAATTTACAATTTGGGGCTTGATCCAGCATCAGAGGCAGAGTAAGCATTGGCACACCTGCAAAAATACTTTCCATAGTCGAATTCCACCCACAATGTGTCAAAAATCCACCAACTGAAGAATGACATAACACCTTCAATTGGTCACACCAAGGCACCACCATCCCTGCATTGCCACATGCCTCCTTTAATGTTGACGATTTGTCACGCGCCACCCACAAGCACCGCACACCACTATTGAGCAAACCAGCTACAATTTCATCCATTTGGGTGCTTGAAACAGAGAGAAAACTTCCTAGTGAAACGTACAAAACAGAGTTCTGAGGTTGAGAGTCTAACCATTTGAAGTAGTCAGGATCGTCGTGGCAAGCAGTGGTGTGAGAGTTGCTATGTTCAAGATTGAAGTAAGGTATGAGGGGGCCTAAAGAGTAGATGGGAAATTGAAATATGAGTTGCAAAGCATCAACAACTGGAGATTCAAGCTCAAGGATGGAGGAGAATAAGAGATATTGTGATTTTGGCACATTGGACATCAGATGAAGAGCTTTGTGCGAGAGTCGTTTATCTTTCATGTGGAAGATAGTTGGAATGTCTGCTAGTCGAATTGGAGATAGTCCAGGAATGTAGTCCACCAACTCTTCTCCTTTTTCTATCATGCATGCATGAGCAATGAAGCACATAAGTCAATGTCATCAATGTAACATAATGGAGATTTTAGTGCTTACAAACATAAATTCTAATCAGAATTCTCACAGAGGTGGGCTACCCGTGTCCCAATCATATCGGAGCTAGGGCAAGTAAGGAAGCTAACGGGTCAAAGGAGTGTGTTAATTTTATAATTATAAAATGTCTGTATTAATAAAAATAAGGGATAATATGATATATTATTTATAAATAATAAAACTTTAAAAAACATTTTATTTATTTAAATTGTAAGGATAATAAAATAAAAATAAAAACAATTTTTAAATTTATAGCTCCATTACTCAGCAAACTTTTTGGGATTTACATCTTTGTGATTTTTTTTATTGGTTTTTTTTTTTTTTTCTTTTCTAATTTCCAAAAGGTTTCAGGCTTTTTGGCTATTTGACGGGGAAAATTATTTTTTTTTAAAACAATTCATGAAAGTTTTTTAAAAAAGACAAAAAAAAAAAAATTAGTGGACATTTTAAACTTATTTTTGGTTTTTTTTATTTATTATTTTTTAAATTCTTGAACGGAATAAAAAAATTACATAATTTATAATAAAAAAAAAAACACTTAAAAAAAAGGATAGAAAGGCTGCATTGTTCTTTGTTCGTTCCCGAACACCCAAATTTATACTACCAAAATCTGAACATGGTCATTAAATTGTGAATAATATTTGAAATTTTAAAAAATTTATCAAATGTCTCGTATGAGTGTACAGTATATGTCTCATCATACCGTATATGTCTCATGTGGTTTCCAAATCTATGTGAGATATATGGCCTCGTTTGGGAAGTGGCTATTTTAGTAGGCTATTTTAATTTTGTATTTGGAAAGATGAGATGAATTTTTAGTTGGGTTCTTGTATTGGAAAGTGTGTTGAAATGATATTTAAATTTAAAATGACAAATTTGTCCCTAACTTTTTATTTTTAAAATTAATATAAAGGGGCAAAATGGTAATTTTGCCATTGATGTTATGGGTTTCCGGCTGTGACAGTGTAGGCTGTGCCTACACTGTCCAGCGCAGTGCCTAATTTTTTATTTTTTTTTTTTTAATTGTGAACAGTGCCACTTTTTGGCTTATTTCTGAAATGAGGCTATAATAGCCTCATTGGCAGCTTCCCAAACAGCGCCATGGTAAAATGTTTAGGCCAAGTTTGGAAAGATTAAAAAAGTGCACTTTTTGTCTTTTTGGACTAAAAAATTGAGGTTGAAAATATGGATGTTTGGGTTAACTTTTTGAGTTTTTATTGAAAAATGTGTAATAAAAAATTGTAAAAATTAATTTGTAAGAGAAAATTAGAATTGAGAATTGTGCAGCTGTAATTGTTGACTTTTGATGAATAGTGTTAACTTTTTAACTTTTTGAATAACTTTTTAACTTTTTTGACTTATTCTAGACTTACCAAACTTTGGCTAAATGTTTAATTGCTTCTCAGTTTTCTAAGAGCTCAATAGGACATATAATATGATATGTACAAGTGAAAGGGACATCTTTAATTGCTCAAGAGCATCTACAATGGAGTAGTTAAACAATAATATATTATATGACAAAAAAATGATAAAAATAGAACTTCAAAATGTGTGTTAAGCTATGTTAAGAGTTTATTATTTTTAAAGAGTCAATAGATATATTAAGATGTGTGTTAACTATTTAAAAATATCATAATTAACTTCTCTCCGATATTTATATTTTTCATGCAATTGGAGAAAGTTATATATCATTTATTACTTTCTTAACATGCACATATTAATAAGACTAATATTTTATAATAAAAAAAACAAAAAGCTAAAACTAAAACAATATTACATGGACTCATTAAATAATTTATGTGATTTTTCATTGGGACCATTCGTTTGCTACCTTTTGAGTTGCTAACATTCAATGGAGTAAAATAGACATAAAATAGAGAGAATCATGATCATTTTGTCACAGTAATTATTTAAGATGGTGTAATTGGTTTCTCAATTTCTCATTAGTTTATTTGTTTTTATACCAGATTGCATATCAACTCATTAAATTATTTACTTTATCCCATCTTCCATATGTCATGTTTGAATTATCTCAACGGAACAAGTTATTTTATTAATTTTTAAATTTTTTACAAAAAATATTCAGAAAACTAGAGGGAATGATGTGACAACTTATAATGACTTTTTGATTTTTTATATATATATATATATTTTTTTTTCAACAATGATTCATCCCCCTTTTCCTTCCATCCCTTTGACCCCCTCTCTCTCTCTCATTGGTTACATTTTCATTTTCTTTTTCTTTTTCTTTTTTTTCCTACTCTTCCAATCACCACCCGCCACGTGGCAAAGGGGGTGAGGGGTGACCCCAAAAGGGGGTCCCAAGCATTATTCTATTTTTTTTTATTATACTGTAGCGTAATTGAAAATTCAATCCATGTTTAAGAATCTGGGCTTACCTAACTCCGTTGGTAAAAACAATATAAAAAAAATGAAATTATTATGGCAGAGAGCTATAATTCACCTAACTCTTTTGATGATGGTGGGGTTGTTGGGCGTTACATTCCATCCTCTAAATCATTTGTGCTGTGTTTGGTTGATGGATTTGAGGAGGGATTTGGAAAGGAAAAGGGAAAAGGTGTGTGAAACTATGTGAAATATAGGCATGATTTATTCACATTTCACCTACCTTTTCCATTTTCCTTTCCAAATCCCTTCCCAAATCCCTCAACCAGACACAGCATTAACAAAAATAATTATTACGTCTGTTTATTTTGTCAATTGAATTAAAAGTTAAAATGTTAATTTTTTAGCTTTTTGAGGTTATAGGCCTATTTGGTAAGTTGGTTAAATGTTAATTTTTAATTTTTAATTCATTTTGGATCATATCACTTTTTATAATTTTCACTTATAAAAAGATAAAAAAGTCAAAAAAATCAAAAAAAAAAGTCAACTTTCAATCAACTTTTCCAAACACTACTATATTATTTCTTTTATTTTTTTCACATTTTTTTTATAAAAAAAATTAAATTAACTTTTAACTTATTTTTCAAAATAAGCCATTTCATTTGCCACGTTTTTTGATTATATGTTTAAGACCTTCTTTAGGAAGTTGGTTAGTTTAAGTCTCATTTGGGGACTAAACCTTTTTGGGTTAAACTATATAAGTATACTTTTTAAATTTATTGGGTCACATTAATCAACATCTCCTCTTTATTTTTTTATACATATTTTTATAAAGAAAAATAAAAAAGTGCACTATTATTTATCAAAAAGTTAAAAAGACACTATAAGTTGTCACATCATTCTCTTTTCTTTTCTACACATCTTTTCGTAAAAAGTCAAAAAATTACTAAACTATCATATTCCCAAACGAGACCTAGTTGATTTTTTAACTATTTTAACCTGGCTAAAATAGTTTTGTTTTGGAAATTTGTTGATTTTTTTTAGTTGATTTGATAGTTGTGAAAGAAAAAAATAAAATAATTATGAATTGAATGTGATATTGTGTCTTATTGACTATTTTACAATATTTTATTTTTTAATGAGTTATTTTAGTACAACTCTCTTCCCAAACACTCCCTAAATAATATTACATGATACTTGAAAATTATTAAATAATTATTACGGTGCCGTTTGGTAACACTTACGTTTTCAGTTTTCTGTTTATATTTACAAAAATTTAAATAACTCAAATAAAAACTTGTTTGGTAAATTTTTTATTTATAAATCAATAGTCTCAGTTTATAAATTTGGCCAAAAAATAAAAACACAAAAAATAAGTTTACGTTTTGAGTTTTGAGTTTTTTTTTTTTTTTACCACCCAACACTAGCCACCACCTGCCACCATTTTCCACCACCGTCTTCCGCCACCACCACCTCCACCCACCACCCACCCCCACCACCATCACCACCAACCAACACAACCACCCACTTGCCACCACCACTCACCACCACCTGCACCCACTCGCCACAACTACCACCCATCGCCGCCACCACCACCACCCACCTGCCACCCACCGCCACTACTATCCATCGCCGCCACCACCACTCACCAGCCACCTGCCACCACCAATCCACCATCCCCACCACCACCTGCCATCCACCACCCACCTGCCACCACCACCCACCACTCGCCACCGCCACCGTCGCCACCACCACACCACCCACTCGCTACCACCCACCACCCGCCACCGTTACCCACCCACCCGCCACCACACACCACCAGGTATCCACCACCAGGTACCCACCACCCACGTCACCACTTTCCACCACTCGTCACCGCCACCACCACCACCCACTCGCTACCACCACCCACCACCACCAACTACCCACCACCTACCGTCACCACTTTCCACCACCGTCTTCTGCCGCCACCACCCGCCACTTTCTACCACCGTCTTCTGCCGCCATCACCCGCCAGCTGCCACCATTTTCCACCACCGTCTTCCGCCGCCACCACCACCCGCCATCATTTTCCACCACTCGTCTCCACCCACCACCAGCCACCACTTGTCATTTCTTACTCTTTTTTATATTTTTAAAATTTTTTAAACATTTTGTCTAAACGAAACGCGTTTGTAGTTTATGTTTTTCTAAAAATAAACAAAAATCAATTTATAAATTTTTTGTAAATATAAATTGAAAACGTAAATATTACCAAGCCCTACATGTTTGTTATGTCGTGATATACAGTAAATCAGCACTGGGGGTATAGGCTAAACTTTTTGATTGATTCAAGTGAATCAGGTTTAATGTTATAATAATTATATATATTTATTACGATGTATTACTATTTGATGGAGCAATCTTGTTGGTATTGCATTGAAGATATACTCATTACAACAATAATAATAATTTAGTGGTGTTACATGTATCAATTAGTATATTAAGTAGTTTGTTAACACTAGTTATGATATTATTACTGATCTCACTCTCACATCACAAATACCAAAAATCTCTTAAATTATATCACATCATCAATTAATATATTAGTTAGTACACTAGTTAATGATTTAAAATCTCTTAAGTGTTATCAATTCTTGTGTTGGGCCAGTCCATACAGAGTTTTGCTCTGGCTTCAAATGGGCCCCACTAGTGGACGGTGGGATTGGTCTCTCAAAGATTAGTTGAGGTGCGCGTAAGTTAGTCCGGACACCGTGAATTATCAAAAAAAAAAAACATTATTCATAATAAACGGTATAAAAATTTGAGAAATTGACTGATTCAATAAATTTGTTCGAATCGAAACGTGTTAAGAGTTTAACTAATCAACGCAAAATAAACAATTTAGTTGGTGGGTCAATGAAGGTGGGTATGATGTGTGTAACTCCATGAACCTAGATAAACCACACCTACTCTATGATGATTTATTTGTTTTTTTATTTTTAGCAAGTGAAATGAAATGGATGTTAACAAATGACTAAATTGATAACAGTTTCTTAAGAATAGTTTAATTTATTAGTGGCATAGTTTAATTTAAACTCACTAAGAATTTTACTCTATGAAGCATGGATACTCTGAAATGGTCCTCGTACGCGTATCGGATATGGATACAGATACGCGTCCGATACGGTGGGATATGTATCAGATACGGCAAAGAAGTATCCTATTTTTTTTTTTTTTAATTTCAGATACGTTTGGGATACGCGAGAATACTTCAAGAATACTTTCGGGATACGGCGGGGCAAAAAAATAATTTAAAAAACTTATAATAGGGGTCAAACTATAAAATAACAAAAGTAAGGTAAAATAAAACAAAAAAATCAATCAACCAAACCCTACCTAGGTCGCGACAGCAGCAGCTAAGGAGGAGAGGAGAGGAGGAGTCTTTATCAACCAACCAACAAAGAGTCGTCGATCAGGTTCGTCCCTCTCTCCCTCTCGCTCGATCTCACACTCTCTCCCTTTCTCCCACTCCCTCTCGCTCGATCTCTCTGGTCTGGATGGACAGATCTCGCTCGATCTCTCTCTCTCTCTCTCTCACTCTGTCTTTCGATCTCTCTGGACACATTTTTTTTTTTTTATAAGTATACTCTGTAACCTGTAACCTATTTTGGCCCCATTTGATATATAATTTTTTTTTTTTTTATAAGTATACTCTGTAACCTGTAACCTATTTTGGCCCCATTTGATATATAATTTTTTTTTTTTTTATAAGTATACTCTGTAACCTGTAACCTATTTTGGCCCCATTTGATATATAATTTTTTTTTTTTTTATAAGTATACTCTGTAACCTGTAACCTATTTTGGCCCCATTTGATATATAATTTTTTTTTTTTTTATAAGTATACTCTGTAACCTGTAACCTATTTTGGCCCCAAAAAATGTCCTAAAAAGTTATAATCAAAATAAATATATGTCACTTTATTTGTTCATATATATTTAAGGATTTCAATTATGCTAAAAAAAAAACCCACATAATGTAGTTCAAAAAAATACATTGTCTGTTTTGGGCCAAATTACCTGAAAAATCAAATAAATTATAATTTACAATTGCAACTAAGCACCATAAATTAATTTCTCATAAGCAAATAAATAAATGAACTTTGTAAATTTTTCCCTCTTAATTTGAATTGCATTATGGTTGTTATGGGTGATGCTATATTGTTGAAATTGCTGAAATTTAATTGAATTGATGAATTTTTTTTTGATGTTCATGCCAAAAAATAACTACATTAATGTTTTGTTTTATTTGTTTACCAAATTTATAAATTTTAGGAAATGAGTTCGGATACGGGAAGTTTAGGCTCAACAAGTGGTACAGTAACGGAAGAAGATGATCATGCTCCTCTTTGGTGTTATGTTGCAAAACTAGAAAAAATTGAGAGAAGGGGTAACACCAAGTTTAAATGCAGTTACTGTCAAAATGAGTACAACTGGTCATACTTTAGGGTCAAGGCACATTTGTTAAAACTTTCTGGCAATGGGCTTAGAATGTGCCCCAAAGTGACTCCGCAACACCTTGCTGAAATGCAAAGGAAAATTGAAGAAGCTGAAAAAAGGTTAAAGATGGCTATGCCTAAAAAAGCTCCTTTACCACCTTCCACTTGCCAATCTACTTCAACAGGTTCAGGGGCTTTAGATACTGGAGAATTTAAGATGAAGGGGTATGAGCCAAGAAAAAGAAAGGCTACTGGAACTTCTGCTCTAGAAAAGGCATTCAACCCAGTTATTCGGGAACAATTACATTCTGAGATTGCTTGCATGTTTTATTCAGCGAGGTTACCTTTTCATTTATCAAGGAACACATATTATGTTAGTGCTTTTCAATTTGCTGCCAACAATCCAATTCCTGGTTATGTACCACTTGGTTATAACTTGTTGAGGACTACATTGCTTCAAAAGGAAAGGGCTAATGTAGAGAGGTTGTTGGAGCCAACTAGAGCATCATGAAAGGAAAAGGGGTTGAGTATTGTTTAAGATTGATGGACTGATTCTCAAAGAAGGCCCCTTATTAATTTTATGGGAGCATCAGAAGCTAGGGCAGTGTTCTTGAAAGTTATTAATTGTGAAGGTGAGCACAAAGACAAGTTTTTTATTTCCAACTTAGTTAGTCAAGCAATTGAAGAAGTTGGACATCAGAATGTCATTCAAGTCATTACAGATAATGCTTCCGTGTGTAGTGCAACTGGTTTACTCATTGAAAGTAAGTACCCGAATATCTTTTGGACACCATGTGTAGTTCACACACTAAATCTTGCTCTAAAGAATATTTGTGCTCCAAAGGAAACAAGGGGTACTGCTTTTGCTTATGGTGAATATCACTGGATCACACTTTGTGTTGATGATGCGATGTTTATCAAAAACTTCATCATGAACCATTCCATGCAGCTAGTTGTTTTCAATAAATTCATACCCTTGAAGTTGCTTGTTGTTGTGGACACACGTTTTGCATCTGCCATTATCATGCTCAAAAGGTTTAAACTTATAAAGCATGGCCTTCAATCAATGGTTATTAGTGACTAGTGGGTTTCTTACAAAGAAGACGATGTTAAGAAAGCAGCATTTGTGAAGGAAAAATTATTGAATGATCTGTGGTGAGATAAGATTGATTACATTTTGTCTTTTACATTGCCTCTCTATGAGATGCTTAGGTTTTGTGACTCTGACAAACCATGCCTTCACTTAGTTTATGAAATGTGGGACACCATGATTGAAAAGGTGAAGGCAAGCATCTTTAGGCATGAAGGGAAGCTAGATCATGAGGAATCAATCTTTTATTCCGTGGTGCACAATGTACTAGTTAAGAGGTGGGCCAAAAGTAACACTCCACTTCATTACCTTGCACATTCTTCGAATCCAAGGTAATAACTTAATTCATACTCTTACTAATTAGATTTCTTTATTGACATTTGTCTTTTAATATGAATAACATAATTCAATTTTGAAACTTTCTAATGTTGTAATCTAGATATTATAGTTCAACGTGGCTCAATGAAAATCCCAATCGTGTCCCTTCTCATAGAGATGAAGAAATTTCAAGTATGAGAAACAAGTGCTCCAAGAAATACTTTCCAAATTTAGAGGAAAGAAGGGTTGTAAATGTGGAATATGCCAAGTTTTCAGGAGGTTTGGATATGTTTGGAGATTTTGACTCAAAGATTGATAGAGGAGTATTGGATCCACTTATTTGGTGGCTTACACATGGGTTTCCTGCTCCTATGCTTCAATCTTTAGCATTAAAATTGCTTGGCCAGCCATGTTCCTCATCATGCTGTGAAAGGAATTAGAGCACCTACTCCTTTATTCACTCCATGAAAAGAAACAAAATGACACCACAATGTGCTAAAGATTTGGTTTTTGTGCACAACAATCTTCGTGTCCTATCAAGGAGAAGTCGACAGTACATTAAAGGAGAAACCAAGTTATGGGATGTTGGTGAAGATACTTTTGATTCATTGGAGGATGCAGGCTTACTTGAAATTGCAAGTCTTTCTCTTGATAAACTAGATATGGAAGCTGTGATATTCACTGATGAAGGGGAACAAGTTGAAGCTATTGACCTTGAAGACTCTCAGCTTTCTAGGAATCTTTCTTTTTTTATCAAGTTGTCTTTTATTTTAAGTTTTATTTTTATATATGCTACATTACAAAAAATTGTTGAAGTTTTATTTTTATGTATGTTACATTACTAAAAATTGTAAAAATAATATTTTTTATGAACATATCCCTGCCATACTCGTATCCTAGGTTTTCAAATTTTGTCGTATCGCCATATCCGTATCGTATCGTATCTGTATCCTGTATCCGTATCTGTGCTTCCTAGATTTTACTAATACATGCACAAATATTTTTTTGGATAAATTACAAAAAAAAAAAAAAAAAAACCCTCAGGGTTTTGCGTATTTTTCAAATTAAACCCTGGAGTTTCTTCCATGTTTCAATGTGAACCATCCGTCTATATCCGTTTGATTGAACTAACGGAATCTGGGCAAAATTCTCAGGTTCAAACATACATGTTCAAACACTTGTATCTCCCTCGTCGTAATTCCGTTTTGCTTCATTTTTGCGTCGTTGGATTCACCTCATTGCCTAGTTTTCATTTCATCCCTCACACGCCTTGTTCCACCTCTTTTTGTATGCCGTTGGAACTCCAAAAGTTGGAAAAAAAAATAAGATTTTTCTCTCTTTGGGCAAAATTTTCATATTCAAACACACATGTTTAAGCACATGTATCTCCTTCGTCGTAACTCCGTTTTACCTCATTTTTGTGTCTTTAGATTCACCTCATGGCCTAGTTTTCGTTTCACCCCTTATAAGCCTTGTTCCACCTCTTTTTGCATATTGTTTGAGCTTTGAAAGTTGGCCAAAAATAAATTTTTTCTTTATTTGGGCAAAATTTTCATATTCAAACCCACATATTCAAGCACTTGTATCTCCCTCATCGTAACTCCGTTTTGCCTCATTTTTGCTTTGTTGGATTCACCTCATGGCCTAATTTTCATTTCACCCCTCATGTGCCTTATTCCACCTCTTTTTGTATACTGCCAAAGCTCCAAAAGTTGGCAAAAAATAATTTTTTTTTTGTTTTTTCCCTCATTTATTTTCTATCTCCACGCTTCTTCCTTCCTACTTTCTTTCCACAGTTATTCTCTTTTTTCCTTTTCCTACATAGCCCTTCCACCGAGCTCATGGTGCCACCGAACCTTCGACGGTGGTGGTATTGTCGAGTATGAATGTATATGACTTACAAGAACGGAAAGAAACATAAGAGTGGGGGATGGACCATGAAGAAAGAGGAAAAGAAAGAATAATTATGGAAAGGAAGTAGGAAGGAAGAAGTATAGAGATATACGATAGACGGGGAAAAAAATAATATATTTTTGGCCAACTTTCGGAGCTTCAACAACACGCAAAAAGAGGTGGAACAAGGCGTATCAGAGGTGGAAAGAAAATTAGGCTATGAGATGAATCCAACGACCCAAAAATGAGACAAAACAAAGTTACGACGAATGAGATACAAGTGCTTGATTATGTGTGTTTGAATCTGAAAATTTTGTCCAAAGAGAGAAAAATCTTATTTTTGACCAACTTTCGGAGCTTCGACAGTATGCAAAAAAAAAGTGGAACAAGGCTTATGAGGGGTGGAACGAAAACTAGGCCATGAGATGAATCTAATGACGCAAAAATGAGGCGAAATAGAGTTACGACAAGGGTGATAAAAGTGTTTGAACATGGGTGCTTGAATCTAAGAATTTTATCTAGATTCCGTTGGTTCAATCAAACGGATATAGATGAAGGGTTCACATTGAAACACGGAAGAAACTCCATATTTAATTTGTCAAAATTTAAACGATTGGGTTTAATTTGAAAAACATGCAAAACCCTGAGGTTTTTTTTTTTATAATTTCCCCAATTTTTTTGTATATTGCCAATTGATAGATGAATAATTATATATAAAAAAAAATTACAAATTGATGCATTTAAGAATTTCATCAAATGTGTGTAAAATAGGTAGATGAATCATGCTCTAGAGTAAAAATGATGAATTTTATTATCAATCTTATTGAAATTTGTGAATTAATTTAGGAGTTGTTTGGGGTATCCTAAATAAGTGCACTTTTTGTCTTGAGGAAGAAAATATGGATGTTTGGGTTAACTTTTTGACTTTTTATGGAAAAATGTGTAATATATGTAATAAAAAATTGTAAAAATTGGTTTGTGAAGGAAAATTAGGATTAGGAGTTGTGCAGTCGTAATTGTTGACTTTTGGTGAATAGTGTTAACTTTTTAACTTTTTAAGTAACTTTTTGACTTTTGTGAAAATTACTATGTAGTCCTGTGTAGGGGATCTATTTTCCTTCTAATCCCAATATATTTTTAATAGATTAATAGGTCCACAGTGTTTTAAGTTTTATACCCAGAGGTCCTGTTTTTTATTTTCGTATTTTGTAAATGACTGTATTACCCATTGTTTTGAGATCTATATATACGTGAAAAATCAAATTTTTGCTTCGTTTAAAAAAGAAAATCAAATCTTCGCTTCTGTGATCTCAATTTCTCTTCGTTAGGGCGATCTCGTTGTGCTGTGACGTGGATCTGGTTGTGCGATCTGAATCTCTGTGTACAGGCGATCTCTATGTACGTTCTCTTTCTCTCTCTCTGTCTCTCTCTCTGTGTATCTGGTTTGTATCTGTCGATACATATATATATGTATATATAGATAAGCAAATTTGCGTGATGTCTGGATTGTGTTTGGCAATATTGTTTTTGCTCTTTGTTTTTTGATAAATTTTGTTTGTTTGATACTTATTTATTTGATTTTTGTATGTGATATAGTGTAATGATTTTGATTTGGTTGATTTTGTTTGTTGTATAGTGTAATGTATTTTGAAGTTGTAGTTTGGAATTGTGAATTCTGGTGTTTTGATACTGATATGTTGTAAGTGAATAATTTTGCAGTTTGGAATTGTGAATTGTGCACTGTTGATACTGATATGTTTTAACTATATAATGTTGCAGTTTGAAATATGTGAATAATTGTTTGGTGGTTTGTGATTTTGTAGTATGGAGGGGTGTTTCATGTTAATGTGAAAATATAGTAATTCTTGTGCTGCTATTAAGATTAGTGAGGGATGTAGTTATCATGAAGTTGTTGAGAAAATATGTGCGAAGTTCAAGGAGTTGAGTGTTGGTAATTTTTGTTTATTTTTCTTTATTCCTGGATATTCTAATTGTATTGTTGAATGTGATGATGATTTGGGGAATATGCTGTCAATGGTAGGTGGTAATGGTTGTCATGTTGTTGATGTTGTTATGGGTGATAAGAGCATTGTGGAGGTTGATGATGGTAATTCTTGTAGGATTGATTCTGTAATTTGTTAGAGTTCTTTGGTTAACGCTTGTGATGATTTTGGTGGTTTGTTGCCTAGTTTTTATCCAGAACCAGAGAGAGTTTTGTTGTCTGCTAGCTAGAAGGGGATTATACATTATGTTGGTCAAGAATTTGAAGGTGGAGTACCGGCGTTCCGGATTGCATTGGCTAAGTATGCAGTTGAGTGTGGTTTTGCAGTGAATTATTTGAAGAACGATGCAACAAGAGTAACTGCTGAATGTATGATGAAGTCATCCACGGGTTGTAAATGGTTTGTGCATAGAAGGGTGTTGATGAATTCCGGTATTTTTTTTATAATTAAGTTGGATAATGTGCATACTTGTGGGGTTGTCGCTCGTAGATCTTGTAGCAAAATGGCTGGTTCTAGACTTGTGTCTGATATTGTGCAAAATGATATTAGTGACAATCCGCTGACACGTCCTATTGAAGTTAAAAAAAATTTGAAGAAGCAATATGATATAGATGTTTCTTATCGGGTTGCATGGTTAGGAGTTGATAAGGCAAGAGGTGGGTTGTTTGGTGATTTTGCAACTTCTTTTGACCAACTTCGATGGTACCTTGAGACGGCTATGAGAACGAATTCGGGAAGTGTGTTTGAATTAGATGTGGATAAAAGTAGTGGGTGTTTTCGAAGGTTGTTTGTGGCATTTCATGGATGTTTGTATGGCTTTCAATTTTGTCGTCCATTGTTGTTTGTTGATGGTACATTCTTGAAAGGGCGTTACAAGGGGCATTTGCTTGCAGCAACATCAAATGATGGTAATCAAGGTATGAATTTATTTGCAGTTAGTATAGGTTTTGGTTTGTCAGTGTGTTATTGTATTGTAAGTCTGCTAATTTTTTGCAGTTTCATGTTATTTTGTTTGCAGGTCTGTTTCCTTTGGCTTTTGCGATTGTTGACGCTGAAAATTAAGATAATTGGATGTGATTCTTAAGTCAGTTGTTAAAGGGTATTGGTTTAGGCCGGAGATTGACCTTTGTGTCGGACCGTCAACATGGATTGCTAGACCCTCTTTCAGTGGTTTTTTCCAATGCACATCATGCATATTGCTTGAATCATTTGAAAAGAAATTTGATTGACAAATTGGTGGGACTTCATACTAACTATAAGCTGAGTTTGATGAAAATATTAGTTAAATGTGCTTATGCGCCAACGGTTGCTTCTTTCCAACATTATATGGAGAAATTGAGGCGTATTGCTGGGAATGGTAGAGTTAATAGTATGTTGGATGGTTTGCAAAATGATAAGTGGGCGAATGCATTTTTTAGAGGGAAACGATATGCTGAGATATCATCTAATGCTGACGAGTCTTACAATAATTGGATTGGTGGGGCCCGTGAATTGCCTATTACTTGTATGGTTGATATGATTAGGGTTCAAATCATGACTCAATTGTCGAATAGAAGAGCTGAATCTAAAAGATGGACTATGAAATTGTGTCCAGTTATGAAAAAGAAGTTGGTGGACTCTTTGAAGGTAGCAAAGCCTTGGGATGTGATTGTTCCTAGTGATACTGTGCTTGAGGTTCATTGTTCTATTTCTTTTTATGTCGATATTGGTAGACAAACTTGTTCTTGCCATGAATGGCAATTGAATGGTTTTCCATGTTGTCATGTTGTGCATGCTTTGCGTAGTAGTGGTAGAGATGTGTATGGTTTCATTGATCCTTTTTTTCATGTAGATTGTTTTAGAGAGTCATACAAGGAATCTGTTTATCCAGTGCCTTCAAGTGAGAGATTTGACTTTGATAGTGTCGGTAGTTCAATTATCAAACCTCTTATGTCGATATTGGTAGACAGACTTGTTCTTGCCATGAATGGCAATTGAATGGTTTTTCATGTTGTCATGTTGTGCATGCTTTGCGTAGTAGTGGTAGAGATGTGTATGATTTCATTGATCCATTTTTTCATATAGATTGTTTTAGAGAGTCATACAAGGAATCTGTTTATCCAGTGCCTTCAAGTAAGAGATTTGACTTTGATGGTGCCGGTAGTTCGATTATCAAACCTCCTATAACGAAGAAGCAGCCCGGGCGAAACAAGAAGAAAAGGATACCTTCTAAGGGTGAGAATGTGAAGCAAATCAAGTGTGGGAGGTGCTTGAAATATGGGAATCACTATAAGAAGACGTGCAAGGCTGCTATTTGAGGCCACAGTCTATTCTTTTGGATTTGTATTTGAATTTGAGGAATTATGATAATAAAAAATGTGATACTTGGTATTATGGAAGTAATGAATAAAGTTGTTTGAATTGTTTTTTGTTTTTTGATGTGTTCTTTAGTTATTGAAGTTGTTTTCTAGCAGTCTTGTTTTGTTTTTTATTTTTTTATTTTTTTTGTGGATTTGGTTGGTTTTATTTTATGAAATGCTGAGAAGGTTGTTGAAAATTTCTTATTGAAACTGTATAATATTGAAATGCAGTTTTACTACATGATTTATTTATTTCATATTTCATAGTGACAAAACTATAAAATTTTACAGTTTTATCTTCAATTTTGAAATGCAGTTCATCTATTTGTTGAGTCATGAAATTGGATGCATAATTGTGTAGCATAAATTTTGTTTGAGTAATGAAACTGTACAATTTTGCAGTTTTAAGATTTATTAGAAACAACCTGATCAAACTGAATAATTTTGCAGTTTTAAGAATTATTAGAAACAACCTGATGAAACTACTTAATTTTGCAGTTTGAAGAATTATTTGAAACAACTTTTACTGTATGAAAATATATGCAACCACAAATAAGTACACAAACAATTAGAAGAACAACCACAATAATAATAATAATAATAATAAGAGCAACAACAACATGAATGGCAACAATCATTTTCACCATAATAACCAAAAGAAGATCACTCGCAAAAGTATATAAAGTACTTGTCACATGTTAAAAAAAAAAAGTACAAAGATATGTTCACTTGAATATTTGTATTGTCAAGAAGTTTGTTCATTATTTCTATGGTTTGGTATGTTTTGTCAACATTTGGTAGTGCTCGAGTTTCCAATATCGGTTCTCATCATTAAGGAATTAACTGATGATTTCTGCTCAAAATTTGACCCACTCACTTGGTCGAAGTGATTTCTACACAGGTTGTCAGTTGATATATTGGTTGATAATATTGCAGACAGCGATTACACAATCATTCCTGCAAAGTTTTAGATGAAGTTAATTAGTTAGGTAAAACTGCAAAATTTAGCATATTGGAAGATTTATTTATTGATTTTATATCTTACGAGTGTAGGGTTTGTTGTGGGCATTCCTCAATTGATGCAATTACTGTCTCGCACTCTTGAGATGATAAGATGTTTCCTTGATTGCTGAGTAATGCTTTATTCTATCTCAGTTGATGTTGTTGCTATAAAATAGTTAGTAGGTGTTTTTGTTAGCTATAGTGATGAGTTGAGATGTTTTGAAAGGAATTGAACTAAATAGGAAATTTTATTTAACTTATAATTTCCTTTGCAATTTCAAAGTGCTTGTTATGGCAATCTTTTGCTGGTCTCAAAGAGTCATAGTGTCTCCATATCCTATCGGCATTGTCAAATACCACAATTGTCCAATGGTTGTCATGGTTGATTGGGAAATGGATATATCTGTTTTTCATTACTTCTTGAAAATGTTTGTCCATCATTTTTTCTCTCAATGCTTGATCTTGGTTTTGTAGTGGAGTCTGTAAGTTATATATATGTTTGAAATATGTTATAAAACTATGTAGTAAGACATGCTAAGAAAGTAGAAAATTTTGCAGTTAAAAGGTATGTTAAATTTTGCTTACATTGATGAGTGTTGAGAAAACGTAAGATCTTCCCGCGTATGGGTTTCTTGCAAAGGCTAGATCATTTTTCTCAAATTCTTCAATAGTTGGTTGGAGTGTCTATTGCTTTTCTAAGAAGGCATCAATGACCTGAAACATGTTATATATGAGAATGTGTTAGGTTTGTGGAATAAGTTATTGAATATGAACAGAAACTGTAAAATTGTGCAGTTGGAGACCTATATTCCCATATAAGGGTTCCTTGTTGGTCAATCTGCATATATCTGAAAAGTATACGCAATTTTCATCTTCACTGCCAGACCAGACATAAGCACTTGATTGTGTGTTGTTGATGAGTTGAATTTGGTTTTGGTCTTTTTTGGATAGGCTATGCCAAACCTTGTTTGTTTTGCGGCATGAAATGGCGAATGGCTTGTTTTGGATTGATTCTTCTTTAAAATCATCATCACGTTCCATTACTTGAAAATGTGTCTTCTCTTGATTGGCATGCTTTTTTGGGTTGGTTTCAGCAGCAACTGCTTTCTCTTGGCCAATATCTTCTTGCATCTTTTCTTTCTGTTGTTGTTTTGCTTCGTGAGCACCCTCTTTTTGCTCGGGTTCAGTAGCAGGTTCTGTCTCTGTTTCAATTTTATCTTTTTTTTTTCATTCTTCTTCTCTTTTTCTTCATCAGTACCCTCTGTTGGTTTGGGTACATCAGCAGCAGTTTGTGTCTTATTCCTCGTATCTTCTTTGGCTTTTGTCATTGGTTGGTATTCAAAATATGGGTCATGTGCTTGTTTTCTTGACTTTTGTTTGATTCTCTTGACCATTGATCTTTGTTGGGGACTGCTAGTTTTTTTTATGGACATTTCCTTCAATTGATCTTCTTTTTTACGCAATTCAGCCATGAATTTTTGTTCCATATCTTGCATTTGTGCTCTCATGGCTGATATGAGCTTGTCCTTATCGTCCTCTTTGGTTGGTGTTTGTGGTTGGTCATGACCTATAAAAATGTTGAATTGTGTTTTTGTTAGTTTAATTAAATTTTGCTATTTGCTTTAGTATTAGACAATAGTTTACCTTGTGCATGAAATATGTCAGATTTCACTTGGAGTTCTTCTTGTTGGCTTGTCAATTCTTGTTCATTGACTTCTTGTTGTTGGTTTGTTTGTTGTTCTTCTTGTTCTTGTTGTTGGTCTTCTTCTTCATCAGTGTCTTCTTGTTGATCAGCTTTTGCTTCTTGTCTTTCTCATGCTTCATCATTGTCTTGTTATTCATCATGCTCTTTTTCTTCTTCTTCTTCTTCTTCTTTAGCTTCTTCTTCATCAGTCATTTGTTTTTTTTCATCACCACTCTCTTCTTCTTATTCATCACTTTCTGGTTCTTCTTGTGATTTTTGCTTTCTTTTCTTTTCTTTTTTGTTGTTCTTCTTGTTCTGATTCTGATTCTGATTCTGATTCTGATTGATGTTCTTCTTCGAGAAAGTCATCCTCATCATTGTCTAGAAGTCTTTTTTTTTTTGTTGCTTGTGTTTTCTTTTTTTGCTTATTGTCCTTTTTGTGGTCATGTTTCTTTGCTGAAGAGTCTGTTGATGTGCTTTGATTGATATGTAATAACTGTATTTCTTGTTCAGTTGGGGTTAAAGCACTTTGGTTAACTTACATTGGAACAATGTGGCATATATCAGTAATACTGTAAAATTGGTCAGTTTCATAAGATGAGTTGTACTGTGAGTAATGTGGGTTAAGTGTCGAAATATGTTGCTTGAAACTGAAAAATTTTACAGTTTCATAATATGAGTGATGTGAAATAGATTAGTGCGTTTAAACTGTAAACTTTTGCAGTTTCATAACATGAGTGATGTGAAATAAATGTGTGCTTTGAAATTGCAAACTTTTACAGTTTCATAAGATGATTTGTACTGTGAATAATGTTAGTCAAGTGTTGAATATATGTTGTTTGAACTGAAGAATTTGACAGTTTCATAACATGATTTTTACTATAATGACTGTGAAAGGAGTGTTGAATAGATTTGTGCTATGATAGTATAGAAGAGTTTGAATACCTTTTCAAAGTGAGCAAGGCTGATGTGTTTCCATTTGGAGTACATTCTGCCAAGGTTCCATTTCATAAACCTTGGGAAGCCTTCTTTGTTGGATGGTCGGAGGAGTTTACTGTGCTCACAGTACCAGTACTGTAAAAAAAAATTGAAATATGTTAGTTAGAAATAGGTGGATGTCTGATATTTTTGTGTGAAGTAGTTGAGTAACGTGTTTACCAAGAGTAACATGACGCATCCAGTGACATACCTTGGGTTGTTGTTTACATTTGCCATTGAATTCATCAGTGTGTCTTTTATTGCTTCAACCCAATTGTACTTCTTGATGTTGTTGAGATTGTCAACATAGTTAAGGAAACTCCAACTGAGTGTATGGCCTGTTGTAGGCATGAGAAGTTTCAAGCACAAGTAAAGGGTGATGACCCTTGCAAGATCTTGACGATCATTGGTTGATTTTCCTTTTTTTGTTTGTTGAAATATTTTGGTCAAAGACTTGCCATCCAATCTCTTTACTGATTTGCATCTTCGTTTGTAAAATAGAAGCTCAAAATCCTTTGGTCTTGCATAGGATTTGGTGGTGATGTTGTCTTCTCCACAGTCGATACCAAAAATGAGCTTGACATCACTGTTTCTGAGTTTCATTTCCTTTTTGCCAAGTATAAATGCTCTTTTTCTTTTGTTGTAGAGTGTTGTCATTTCTACTACGATGGAATTGTAGCATCTGCACCAAGAGGCCTTCAGTTGTGTTGAGGAGAGAGCATATATAATGGGCCAAAAAGGGATTTTTTTCCAGCTCTATCTGTTGGGCTTTTGTGAATTTGACCCCCTTCAACAGTTTGATTATTGTTCCGATGTTGGAACAGTAATTAAATTATTGGACTCTCTTTGCAGGGACGGCTGCTTTTTTCCCTTTTGATGCCTTGGTTTTTGTTTTAGGAGTTGATTGGTTTTCTTGGAGTTTTCTTTTTTTAGTTGGAGAAGCTTCTTATTTTTTTGTTGGCTTTCTTTTGTTTGTTTTTGTTGTGGTTAGAGGTGTGTGTGGTGTTTGTTGTGTGGGTGGGGTCTGTGGTGTAGTTCTTGGACTTTTTCTTGTAGGTAGTGTGGTTGTTTTGTGGGTTTTTTGATAGGGTCTGTGGTGTTTGGTTGTTTTTGGTTGTGGTGGTTGGATTTTTTGTGGAGGGGGAGATGTTGGTGGCATTTCAGTGGATACAGGAGACGGACTTTCAAAAAGGGAGATACTTAAATCCCTGATTGGATTTTTTGGCATATGGGTTTGTTTCTTCCAATATCTTCTAACAGCTATTTCTGAAAAAATGAAAGCGACAGCAGGGTA